GAGGTGGTGGTGGTGGTGGAGGTGGTGGTGGTGGTGGTGGAGGTGGTGGTGGTGGTGGTGGAGGTGGTGGTGGTGGAGGTGGCGGAGGTGGAGGAGGTGGCGGACATGGTGGAGGTGGCGGGGGTGGTCCATAAAAACGCGGAGGTGGGGCCCCTGAAAGCTTTTCAAACTAAAAAATTATGAAAGTTATAAGGACTATAAATATCAAAACCTAGAAAAGCGGCGAGAATTTTTCCACTTGTGACTAATAACTGAAATCTTTTTCGTTTCCCGTGTACTTAAGTTAATCTGCCTTTTTTAATTCATTGACTGTTAAGATCAGTGAACAAAAAGTCACTGAAGTACAAATTTCAGTTTGTCCAGATTTTATGCAGTGCACTAGCACGGTGTCAGAAGTTAGACTTTAAGCGGATTCTCGTGGAGACCCTTTTGAGCGCTCTCTTCAACGATTTTCATTGGCCAGGACTAAATTTCATTTTTGAAGGAGTGAATCCAGAGAATGATGGAATATACGAAAGTTTGAACTAGGGGTAGATTATGTTTTTTTGACTTTTCCACGTTAAATGACAAAACTTGCGATGTGGCTGAAATGAAAATACTTGCTAGGCTTTGTCGCCAAATTTAGCAACTTGCAGCTCATTGACTTCTGTTGACCTCTCTTGCGGGGAGGGTATAATACTTACGCAGTGCTTGTAAAATCTGGATTTTTCAGAGTGCATATAATATAAAATATGAGTAGTAAAAAATTGAAGTACTACCGTATAAAAGGTCCAAGTACGGATACTATGCAGATATCTTATTTGAGCTTTGTAAAATATTTGACCAAATCCACGTCATGTATGAACTTTGTACAGTGTTTGCTAACTTGAGAGCATCCATACAATACATGTATATTCGAACTGTGTGATTGTGAGTATCTCATGTATATGATGTTACAGCGAGTATAGTTATACCAGACCCTTTCATTTCGAACTCTTATCTTCAGTTAACACATGTTGCCTGTTCGATGTATACATTCCATCTCTTCGGGAGCTGCATGAATGATCGTTTGTTTTATTGTGGGTACCAACTCACTAACGCGCGAGGCTCAGCAATTGTCGGCAATGTGAGCGGTACGCCTTGCTCAATTAACAACGTAAAAACTAATACTTACCAGCAGTAAAGGCAATGCAAGCAGCGAACAGGAAAATTAAAATTCGTATTTGGCACATGTTCTGGCTGCAAAAAATACTAATTCATTAATTTTAAATTCCGTCAGTTACCAGAAAAAGCCGAGCAGGCTTGGACACATTGGGGTGCGCCGCTGTCGTGCAGCAAATCGAGCGTTCGATTCCGCTGGTAGGACAACCAGTCCTACGATTCGTTCATTCATTTAGTTGGTGAAGCACTAGCAGGCTGCCCACCAGATAATGCAGCATTGGTCAAAGCAGTTGAGAAAGCTGCCCACTGCACAACTGTTAAATTACTCAAGACCGAAATAGCTTTGAAAAATAAATAGTTACTTAAAATGAAGAAGTTGCAAAAACTAAAAAAATGAAAGCTGTAAGGTTTAAAAATGAAAATTTCAAAAATTAAAAATGACGGCACGTTTCAACTCAGGCTGAAACTTGCCAGGCTTGCCGGTGCGATCATGCGTTTCTGCCCTAAACTTGCAGATCGCTAACAGCAGAAACGGTTGATTTTTGCTCACTGTAGCAGCTTATAGGGCTGCAAAGCAAAAACACATAAAAAGTAAAATTGGCACTATTTTTATGAATGAAAATAACTTGGTGGTGTAAGAAAACCTGTTATTGTTCAGGTTATTTTGTTGTTTTTTCGAAAAAAAAAAAATTTGGGGAAAGTTACGTTAACGCAAGTGTACTGATGATTTTTCGGTACTCACAATCAGAACTTCTGTATTCACTGCCCGCAAGGAGCAGAGAGTACGGTGGTAGCAAACTACCAGCATGAGTTACTGCTTGTTAGAAAGAAAAGCTGTTGTTGGCTCTGGCTCACTAGTAAGCTGATGGCAACTTGATCCAAGTAAGACGATAGCAGGATTTGATTCCCAAGCATGAGCCAGTACCAGTTTATCATCGAAACGATTGAACTGGCTCTGAATAGACTGGGTTCAAGCCTTACCATTCAGTACTGCAGCAATGGTTTTTGCTACTGCTCCAGTTAATGTTACATGCAGTTTCACTTCCCATGGAAGTTTCAGATGACTCGTTAGCGTGAAACCCATGTTATTAGCGAAAAGAGTAGCAATTCCAGCCTAAGCATGCCAGCCAGGCTTGTCTATCTTGAGCTATCTGCTTTCGATCTTTACTACCGTACTTTCAGCATAAGTATTTAGACGCGTTTGTTTTGTGCCTGAAAATTATAGCTCAGTGATGCATGATGCGCGAAAAAGAACAATTTTAGCTAAAAATTAGGACACTTTTTCAGTTTATAAGACTTTTACACTTTAATTTGAAACGCCTTAAGTCATGACCTAAATCTCAACCTCTACAACAAGAAATTTCTTCTTTTTTCAAGCTGTCGTAGTTCACGAACTAAATTATTCCTATGGTATAAAAATGAAAAAGTCGAATTGTGAGGATTTTTTATGTTTCTTGTAACGTATTTTGCTTTTGGAAATCCATTCTGAATTCGAGATTTGAAAAAAAATAAGTTTGTCGGGCAATTTGTGTATTACTTTGATTTCTGTTGATGAGTTTTACGTCCAGCAACAGTCAAGATTTATTTACCGCACAACTTGAAGCAACCACTAAAATGTAATCACACACACCTTCAGCTATTATTTTTTATTTGTATTTACAACAATAAAAAATCAGCTATCGTAGAGTTTTCTTCCGGTAAATTCCGGAAATCTTTTTTATCATAAAATTTATCAGCAGCACGGTGCACATCCCATTACTGTGCATATCGGTCGACATGTTGGGCAGCATGGTCTGCATTTTCCTGCACCGCTTGCTGCTGGCTGAGCACTTGCTACCGGCAGCGCGCCTGCCACCGGTTGAGCAACCGCTACTGGTTTACGGGTACGACGTTCGACTGGTATCTGCAGCAAAGTGAAGATTTTAATGTTATGTATAATATGATCGAGAAAAAATTTACGGAATTGCCTTATTATCTATTCTTTTAAAAAGTGCCTTTACTTGTCCAAAAAAGAAAAAAAAAAAAAACCGTAGCTAGCTTATTAGCTATAAATTGCCAGTAGCTGCATAACCACTTGGGCAGTAGGTATGAGGAACCCATGTTAATGTTGTTGCTGGGGTGGTCGCACTTGTACAGCAACTACGCAGGAGTTCTCGATCCTGAACTATCTGATTCACGGGCACTGTCTCCCCCTAAGCTACCCGAGTGGCCGTCCAGTTTTTATGCGTTTTGTGCTGTGTAACAGCAGTACAAAACGCATATTGTTACGGGGTTGTCT